TTGACGCGCGTCAACCATTGACTTTGCATGTAAACTAGCTGCTCCTGCTGCGTTTGGTGTGAACGCAGCTTTAGGTTCTCACCTTAATAGTGTTTATTTAAAGAACCGTTGAAAGTCTTGGCTAGCAGCACAGTTTCTTTTGAGGACTGAATGCTGGATTACACTAAGAACCGAGACCTACCCTGCCATCCACTTCATGCAAACAAAGCAGCAAATAGTCTGACTGCGTGAAAGAGCGACATACCCCGCCTTGTAATGATAGTTTTACATCTCTGTACATTGGAAACCATGTTGTGTTACACATATTCTATTCTTCTTTTTTTTTTTTTATTTAGTGACCTAATAGGTTCTGGTTTTGTTTTATCTTATAAATATTTCCAGTTTAATGAGTAAGAACAGCTGATTTTCTCACCCAGTTAGTATATAAAACAGGTGGACAACCTGCAGATCTAATCCAAACACAAAACCCCAACATGGTCAGTCGCCATAGTTGATTGGGTCGTGAACGATGGTTTCTCTGGAGAACTTAGACACGTTTATCGTTAAGGGGAAATTTCAGAACAGAGTTGGACCAAAACCAGACCAAAAACATGGAAGAGACTAAAGGCACTGTAGATTAATAGAAATGGTTACCATGGCAACATGTCTCCTGTATTTCTGCATTAATGAGGTCAGAGTCAAGAAACATCAGAACCGCATCCATTGGTAACAGAGCCATGAGCCGAGGTGGGCCTGAACCGAACAGGAAACCTGAGTCCATCTGCTCTGAGAGCCGGTTCTGTGGTTTCATCCAGTCTGAACTAATGACGGTTAATGAAGAAGCATTTCGACACATTACCAAACTCTATTGATCCTGCATTGATAATGTCTCACAGAATACTGACACCTGCTGGAAATTTAAAGATACTACAGGCAGGTTATTTGACAGACTAAACTGAATTGATTTGATGACCTAGTACAAAGATAGAATTTAAGTTATTATAGGTTATATTGTATTATTTCATATATATGTTTAAATTGAAAATATCTTTGATGTTATATTACATTATAAATAATGTACGGTAAACATATATCATAATGTGAAAATTTAGGGGAAAATGTGAATGAGAATGCTTGTGGACTAGGATTTGAAATCTATGTTAAAAATATTTTTAAAACAATAAGTACAGTAAAAACGGTAAATAAACTAAGCGTCAATTTGAAATGATATTTGATTCAGTAAATTCAGTACGTAAGTTGAGTGATAACTGAGAGGAAAAGTATTACACAACGAGAAAATTTAAATAAAAACTCAATGGCTGAAACAATCTTATTCCTTTTAGGCCGCTCCAAAATTTTGGACCATTTTAAAGATAAACCGCAAAAGATGAGACATTTTTTTAACAGATGCATCATGTTAAGAAATACGTTTTTAAACATAGTTTAGTGAGTCAGTCAATCAGGAACAACTCCTAGATCGGTCACATGACTTTCTTGAAACGTCAAGCGCACCGACACAGTGTTGGGCTCGACGAATGCACCAACGCATCAGGGTTAATGGACCCATCACTAGTCTGAAAATAGTAGTCTAAGACCCAGTTCTCTCCAGACTGACTGCAGTTCAGCCATTAAGCCGAGTGTTACCTGTTAGAATCTCCAGACCCTCTGGACCACCCTTGTCCAGTTCTTCTGGTTCTATTACTGTTTCTGCTGCCTGAAGACACCATGAGAGACGAAGACAACACCAGAAATTAGTTTAAAATTAAGACCAAGAATCATTAAAAAACAACTATGGTAAAAAGTGAATGTTATGATTCTGTTGGTGCTCATGAACTCACCATGGTCCCAACTTCTTCTAGAAGGGCCGTATCTTCAGCTGGAAGCTCTCTGGTGGGCTCACCTTCAGCAACAGCTTCTGTATAGATCTGGATCGTCTCTAAAACCACCTCAGCCTCCACCTCCGGCGAATCTGAAAAACCCGGATCCGTCTTTTCCTGCAGCTCCTGAGCGCAGGAGCTCTTCTGCCTACTGACGTCCTGGATGAAGACCAACGGAACCGGATCGGTGCTCGTGGACTGAGCAGAGCCGGAGACCATCTGATGTTCCGCTGATCTGACTGAGGGGTCCAAAAACACAGGAGAAAAAAAAAAAAAAAAGTCAAATACAGCCCAGCTTCTGATTTAGAGACCGATTCCCCCAGCAGTCATATTTTTGGAAAATGGGCGGAAGCTAAAGTACCTGGAGGAAACACACACTGCAAATTCAAGGCCTTTCAAGGACTTTCCAATTTCATCAAAATTTAGGACCATGTGAGAATGGGCGGTTCAAGACAGGGGCCAATGGGGGCCAGTGCCCCTGTAGGTCATGTCAGTATAGGGGCCCCTGTACTGAAGACATAATATTCAAAGTAATTCTAATGATGATATATGTAGGAACAGACATGGTCACTGATTGGTCCTTTGGATGTTTTTTTTTCTATAAAAACTCTGTTTTACTAACTATTTCAAAACAATACGGGGAGAGCTTCAGTGGTATTGAGATGGGATCCCAGTTTTCATCTGCTATTTTTTTTTTTTCAAAAAAAACAAACAAAAAAAAAACTAATTTTTACAGCTGAATTTATCTGTTTTTCATGAGATTTTATAGAAAACAGTAATTTTATCTTAAATTAAGTCAAAAATATGTAAAGTTCCTAAATTATGAACATATATTGACCTAATAAGATATAGAATTTTATTTAAACCTCGTTGAATAGAAATTTCACTTCATGCAGCTCTCTTAATACATTTGAATCCCTTACCCTGTTTAATTATTTAACACTGGCCCCCTCCTGGCCCCCTGGTACATTTGGCCTAGAACCACCACTGCATGTGAGGCAGTATTTAAAGTATCATCTCTGGCTACATTTTTATGGATTTAAGTAATCAGAAAAAACAGCAGGTCAGACTATAAACACATCATGCAAGCATCAGAATATCCTGATTGGATTTGGCAGGAGCTGAATGAAATAGAAATAATAATCAGAGACAGAGGGTTGGTTTATGTTGATTGACAATCTGATCCACATGCATGTAAAAACTCATCAGGGTTAGGTTGTTCTATGATTGGCCGAATTTAGCTGTACAAGCTGACCTATAAATAACTGGCCTGCATAACAAAAAAAACCCCCCACAGATTTTAAGACAGGATTTTTTTTCAAACTAGAAATTTTCTACATTTTGGGACAATATCATCTGATAAAGAGTACCTTTATATACATGTTTAAGCCAGAATGATTTGACTTTTAAATATGATTTCCTTACGACTTTAACACATTTTTAGTCTGAACAGCTGTTTCTTCATTACACGTCCATATAAATGACACAATTCAATTATGAATGTCATAAAAGCTGTCGGAGAAGAATAATTAAATATCATATCCACGATACATGGATATGTTTAGTGATGGCGAGATCAGGCTTTACCTGAAGGGGTTAAAACAAAGTCATTCCTTTCCACAGTAGCCACATGCTTGGTCACCACACTTAAAGGTATTGTGGAGAGGGCGGGTCCTTTTGAAAAATCCTCCACAATACCTTTAAGTGTGGTGACCAAGCATGTGGCTACTGTGGA